TGATTGGCAATTCAATGATTTGCTGGAAATGATTCACCGGAAATTGTCCCTGCTAGCAGCAATTCGCCTGATTGGCTGTTCACCATGAATATTAATAAAAAAAAAAATAATGATAGTGACGAGCACCCACCGTCTTCTCGACTTCTCTTCCCTCACACGTACTATCCTCGGCACTCTCTCCACAACTCTTCCACTCTATCTTCCTTTCTCTCTCTCTCACTGCCTCTCCCACTTGCTTGTTAACTCTCTTCTCTCTCACTCTCTTCACTCTCTCTTTTCTCTGACTCCCGTTGCCTCACGGTCGTCCCCCCCCTTTTTCTCTCACTCACACACTCACACGAATACTCACCATAGGTGCCCCCTCAGTGTTGATCGATGCAGGCAAAGAGTTCTCTCATCGGCCTTGACCGCCTCAAGAGTAGTCACGGGATGCCATAGTTCAGCTCGCTCTGTCACTGCACACACCTCGCCACCTCCTTCCCTTCCTTCAATCGGATCATGTGCTAGCGCGCTGCGCTCGCCTGGTACGCAGTCCCTTCCCCCTGTCAACAACCCGTTCCCCTACACCCCTCGCACGGGCGGAGTAACCGCCGGAGCGCCGATTCTGCCCGTGCTTGCTGACGCGGGTACACCTTGCTCGCTCTTCCTTTTCTCCCCTGGTTTCTCAGCCGCCCCAGCTATATCCACGTAGAGTCCGCCTCGTAGGCTCAACACCACTGGTTCTATTCGAGGCAAAACGGTGACTGAGTCTTTAGGCCCCGACTAGGCAAAGAAAAAAAAAAAACAGGCCCGGGGCAGTGGACCCAGTACTTCGTCTGTGGTGGTGACAAGGGCCCTTAGACCAGGGGTCATTTCGTGATAGGGCCAACACCAGTTAGTCCTATCTGAAGGCTCGATAGCCGCTGCAAGCCAGAAACAACACAGCAGCGTGCATCATGTCATTCCCGAACCAGGGAATTACCAGTCTGAACCGTGGCCGTCCGTACCATACCATCACCGAACCTGAAAACAACACAGTGGCGTGCGCCATACCGTTCCCGAACCAGGGAATTACCAGTCTAAGCTGTAGCAGGCTGTGTTGTCACCGTACAACACACTGTATCGTTACCGCACTAATGCACAGCCTGAAGTAATCGCTTGGAGATGTTGTAACCCATATCGTGCCAATGCCGATACAAGACCGTGCCTGAAAACGATGCAGTGGCGTGTACCACGCCAATGCCGAACCAATACCGTTCCTGAAACATGTCGAACATGGCAAGACGCAGCGGCGCGGCAATAGTACCAATCCTGAAGTAAACCGCCGCAATGGTCCCGGACATGAAAATGAGTCACTACAGAGGTTCCGAACTTGAAATAAATCTCCGTGAGGGCCCCGAACCTGAAACGAAACACCGCGAAGCCACAAAACCTGACCGGACCCGAAATCTAGTACCGGGCTGCTGCGCCACGCGGATGCCGAACCCGTACAACCATGCCATGATAATTTCGTACCTATCCCAAACCTGATATAGAATGCCGCAACGTTTCCGGGCCTGAAAACAAACTGCCGCCAGGGTTCCAAACCTGGAATAACTGTCGTAGCGGCCCCGGTCCTGAGAATAAATCACCGCAGCTGTCCCAAGCCTGAAAATAAGTCACCGTAGTGAAACAACTGTCACCGGGCCCATACCGAACCTGAAGCGCGTTGGAAACCGTAGGACGTAACCATGTCGTAACAACCCCCGTATCCGTACCAAACCAAACACCATACTGTCGACCCAAGGTAGCACCACCCCATGCTGTCCATGCGACTCCCGTTCTCAGAACATCCCAACTGCGGTAATGTTAGTAATCAAGCAAACCAGGGAAAGCGACGCAGGGAACCTCGACCATGGGCAGTAGTGAAAACTTGTCTAAAATCCGGGGAAAATGATCAATCCGGGGCCAAAGCTGATGGCAGGTAATCAAGGCGAAATTAGGCCAATCTCCCAATAGTCATGGGTTTCCGTCCCATTCATCGTTTTTAATCATTCTTCCCTTTCCTTTATTCTGTTGTCGGAAATAGTAAATTAACCGTAAGTTCCATAAAATTTAATTCTGAGAAAGTTTAAATAAATGGCCGAATTCCTTTTGTTTCTTTTCTCTTTTATCATTTTTAATATTTTTCTATGTTTTTAATTTAATTGTCGGGAAAATAAAATAACAAGGGTATTCCCCCTAGAATTAAATGCCGTGAAAAATAAAGAAATTAAGGTATATTATGTTTTCCCTTCTCCCCTACTGGTCTTAATCCCTCTTCCCATCTTTAATTACGGTACTAAAATAGACAAAAAATTGAGGCCCGATTTCGCCCCGGTCGTATGCTGCAAAAACGTTGCGGCGAGGTCAACTTCCTTGTTGCCTCTCCGCGGCAGGCCAATCCGGGTCTAACCCTCTGAACGGTCGGAAATGTCAGTCCCTAGACATGCCGAGTGTCGCCACCCATCTCCCCATCTTTGAGGGTTACTCATAAGGCTCAATGCGCCCAAAATCAGGAGTGCCCTGAGTTCCCCTAATTTTTGCTGCCTGGTCATACGAGACTACCATCAAAACACGGATTTGTCCCTGAGCCTAAGTCCCAAAACTGCAGATCTCAGGCGGCGCACTGCTTGTGGCCGCCTGACAACGTGTCCCAGGAAGGAAATGGTGGTGAGAAAGAACTGGCATTTCTCAAGTGCCACCTTGAAATCGGCATCCCTCAATGCATGCAGCGTCCATTCCATGTGTTGCACATGCCCCTCGTAAAACTCGAATACACCAGAATATCATCCATGTACACAATCACACAATAGTTGATGATACTCTGGGCCAGACGTGTCTTCCGCACAAAGTTCTGAAAAGCCATGTTCATGGCTCGCTGAAAGGTTGCGGGAGCATTGCAGATGCCCATTAGACATCGAATCCATGACCAAGTACCTTCGAACAACACAAACGCCGTTTTCGGACGATCCTCCTCTCGAACAAGAAGGTGATGAAACCCATGATGAACATCAAACTTACTGAAAAATCGAGCACTCCGAATCGCATCCAACAACTCATCAATCCGGGAAGGGGGTACACATTTTTGATCGTGCTATCGTTCAGCTTTCGATAATCGATACGTATGCGAATCCCTCTGATCTTTTTGGGCACGATTACCACTAATGGTGTTTTCGTTATAAGTGAAATTGTTTTCATGTTCGCTTTTTTTTTTAACTGTAAAATGGCAGCATGAAATGAGGAAATTATAGACGAAATAACGACAAAGCAAAATAACGACAAAGCAAAATAATAACAAATTGAAATAACGACAAAGCAAAATAAGGACGAAACAATATTCATAGCAATGCAAAGTTGAAGGAACGACAAAACAATGAGGAAAAATTAATGTGACAGTCATGCTCCCGTGTTGCCTGTGCTCAAAATATAATACAATGTCAAGTTTTTACCTCGAATGTTTACACTAAGTAAACATGTCAATCTCATCAACAAAATATTAACTACGAACTGTAGCTTCAGTCGCACCTCATTGACTTTCGTATCTAACCATGGACAAAATGTCAAATGCTATTCTAAGCCTCATATCAGAAATGTTGGTTTGTGAGAAAGCAAATGGAGGGAAGTGACCTCTTGCAAGCAAAGATGCAAAACCTAACATAAAAACACCACAACTACAAGGATCCTCTTGAGCAGGAATCTCATCCACTAATGTATCAAAGGAGGATGTAGGCTCGTCCACATAATATCTTTGGCGAAGATTGTGCCGATGAAACTCCGCTTCGAAAAAATCTTCCAAACGTTCAAGGACCGAAACATAGTCAGCACGAGGGAGAGAGTCCATGAGGTGGAATTTACAGTTAGGACCATCTATGCTGACATAAGCTAACGCCCAGTAATTTCCAAAATGAAGAGGGATAATCACTAAGTCATAATTAAAAAGATTTGTGTCCTTCACCCATTTCATCCCTTCGGAATATACGGTTTCAAACCTCGAAGGACCTGACAATCGAGTGAAAAAAAAGGAATTGAAAATGTCCACAAAAGGAACCCTATCTCTTGTCACTTTTGTACATGCCGAATCAACCTTGATGTGATTATTGGTGATCTGGACGGCTAGCAGGTACAAATTGACGACTTCGTCATTTAGCCATCTCCCATCCTCGACGACGACCATGATGTCTTCCTTTCCCACCTTCCAACTCCCCTTGTAATCGACAATGCCGTATGCTTCATTGTCTTCGCTGCTGCCTGTAATCATGTCAAGATACTCATTTTCTTCTACGGTGAGGCGTTTTGTTGCTAAAGGAATCTGGAACAAAGGTTCATGCACTGCATACAAACACACATATAAACAACAATGGAACGCGTAAGACTTCATACAAAAACGAACTTTTCGTTATGTGATGTACGACGTAGACCCGAGTTCATGTTTTTGGTTGTCTATCTGTTTCGCTATCAGAGCTGCCATCCACAATAGATAAACTGCAACCTTCGCGATGCAATTTCTTCCCTTCCTTGAGGCTTATTCCAACAGCTTTAAACATCCTTAGGGCAGCTGGCTTCATAGATGGAAATGTCATGGGTGCAATTCTCTCTTTTTTTGGCAATAACGGCAAAGTCGATAAGGCTTGCAAGCCACGACGAATAATATTCTTCTCACTCTGCCTTTGCGAATGTACGTGCGTCGTTTTCCACAGTTCTTTTCGTCGCCCTGTATGTTCAGCAATATAAAACGACAATGATTGACAAGACAAAACATTATGAGTTTAAGTTCAATTTTTCACATAATTGCAAATAAGAGATACACAATATTCTACTTCATTTCTTCTCATGACCGAGTGCACGGTTGCAAAGTTAGGCAAAAAATTAGTTCCTATGAGATGAGTGCATGTACCCCCTAATCCGCATACAGTATTAGATATTCCCTTAGAGATAAGTACGTGCTCACCTCGGTGGCTCACTAACACTTTGTCTTCAACACGATCTTGTATCGCACCATGCGATGGTGTAAAAGGAGATTCATCGATAGATATCACGAGCTTAGCAGACTGTTGTGCTTCTGATTTTGCAACCGTAAGTTCAGGCTATACAAGCGTATGTTGCTCCCGTGTACTTAGTACTATATGTCCTTCATCCTCTTCGATGGCCTGTACATTGGCAGTTTCGTTTGCACCTGCAGTCGTGCTTTCATTCTTCATGTCCAGAGAGACCTCATGTTCATCTTTCTCAGCTGGCATATCCAATGACATCTCTAATTCTGCAAGTGCACAAGTATTATCCACTTGCGCAGTAACAGTCTTACTCACCAACACAGTGGTCACCCAAACTTGGTCATCCGGAAGGACGTCCTCGACACATTTCGGCAGTTCTCCATGACTTACGCCCTTGACGCTTTCACCGCCGCTTCCTCCCAAATCCTGGCCACTTGCATCGCCTCTCGATCCCCTGCCATGTGCACTGCTGCTTGGTCCTAATCCCATAGGTGAACCCGATCCCCTGCAATGTGCACCGTTGCTTGGTCCTAATCCCAGAGGCGAACCCGATCCCTTGTCATGTCTACCGTCGCTTGGTCCTGATACTTTTCCCTCTGTTGCTTGACGCCCTTGACACATTTCGTGTTTTTGCAGTTCACCATGACTTATTGGCTTTCCACTTGCACCGACGCTCGGTCCCAGGCCCTTGCCATGTTCACCACCACTTGATCTTGTTCCCTTGCCAAGCGCACCGCCGCCTGATCCTGATCCCTTGCCACTCTCATCGCCGCTCGCTCCTTTCCTTTCCCCAACTTGGTCTTCAAGTTCCTCTTCGATACGCCAATTATATCCAAAAGTTGGACTTGTTTCTCGATCATAGAACTCTTCCAGATACTCAAGCCATCGAGATGTTTTGAACTCCTCAAAGATTTCTTCTGTCCTTGCATTCAGTCTTGATTGAGAAACCTTCGGATTAAGTCGCAGTACTCGCTTGCCAATCTTATTTTTGGCGTATGCGACAAACTTGGATCGTGACATGCGTCTGTGGAGGCAAAATTGTCACTCCTCTTCTTCTTTTATAGCCATTACCCAGTTCCCTCTCGCCAATGCAGGTTGTAAGTGGTGGGGGTGCCATATAATGTGATGACCCCATACGTTGTCAGGCATCACCGTATAATCGTCCTGGCACACAATAGGTCCAGGAAGCCGTGCAATGTCCGGAGGGATGATGTCTTCAATCTCGTACTCCAAAGGCTCAGACGGAGGTGGTTGAGGAGTTTGAGAGCGTAGCAATTCCAAAACAGTAGCCGGGCTATGTGCAAGTGCTCACATACTCGCTATAACCTCTGGGGAGAAAATTGCCTGCAGCCTCGGATCATCCCGAACTGCGCCGGAAGATAGCATTGATGTGTTGCCCGCCATGTAACTGGTCCGTTGAAACTGGTCCGTTGTAACTGCCATACTTGAAGCCCCCCCAGAACCGGACGATGTGCCCAGTGCACCCATGTTCTACGAAGCCGAGCTACAAGCTTTTTGCCTCTCATCTGCCAAAGCCGCTTGCGAAGTACCATCTTCACTTTCTTCCTCTGAGTCCTCGGCATCGAAGTCTTCCCCAAAACAAGTTGCATAAGCTGCGATTGTAAACGCCCTGATTTATTCGTCGAAGTACATCATCTCTAAACGGTGTAGAAATGCAACTTCCGTCTCTGCCGGTGCCTTATGATACCCCCTCAGAAGTGATTCCATTTTTCGTCTTCTGACGACATATGTACGTTCCCCTCTGTTTTCTGGCTTAGTCTCGAAAAGGAACTCCCAAATGTTGACGATGTTTTTGCCGACTTTGTAGACGAGATCACGCTTTTCATCATGTCGAGGAGGCGGCTTAACAAATTTGGCGAGGTAAAGTCCACTCTTGATCATCTTGGTGACGAATTGAATGAGAAACTCGAACTTCATACCCTCCCCTTCCAGAACAATGCAATAACGGTGACTCTTTAACAACTCCCAAATCAACGCCGCATGACCTTTTCCCAGGAAAACAACCGCCTCATCCGCAGGACAAAAATGCTCCAATGTCTCCACCATCGCATTTGGCTCTCTTTCCATACCTTCGTACACCAATTTCTCCCTTCGCTCCATACCTACCATTTTCAACTTCGTGGGCGTGAAGTTCTTCTCCACGACATCAGCCAACATCTTTGGCCTTCTCTCTGCGCACAAGTGCTGATAAGTCACCCGCTTGCTCGCCAGATGATCAATCTGCAGCTGGAGTGCTTGTTGGGATGTCTTCAAGCAAGGGAATAGTGTTGCGGTGATAATCCCCATCGTTGGAGTACATGATGACAGTCATTCTGTTTGTGTCCTCCAAAGGCAAGTTCGCAACCTTATATAAATGCTTCGCCTTCGTTTGTAGTTGACGAGTTCACTTTAGAATAGACAAGTGAATGTCAATCTCCCAACTTGTAATTCGCTTGAAAAATGTATACTTGCAAGACCGCGGAACGAAGCACAATAATGTCCAATAATCACCAGCTTGTTTTTCCATGAACTTCCGCAGACCATCAAAGACTTTTTCAGTCCACACCCCTATCTGGGTTGGGTGACATAAATCCAGCACGGCTGTGTGGCAACTCAGATGTTTGACGACTCTATATATTTCCTTAGAATCCATCTCGTCTGAAATATCGCTTGGCTCCCGTTGGAATGGGACGAAAACAGAGTTCACGTTCTGTCTTTTGAAATGTATATATTGCATCGAGCCCGACATTCTTATGCTTTCCGAACCCCTGGTTTCTAATATGCGCAGCAGCTTGTTGACAAACTGCACGAACTCTTCGGGGCACTTCGCAGCAAGTGACGCTGATTTCTTGAAGCCCTCTTCTACTTTTTCCTCCTCTCCTCCAAGTGTAGCCGGGAACATTCGCACCCAACTCATCTCTTTGAAATGGCGACGCTGGTCTATCCACCTCTCGGACGTCAATCCTTCATCAGAGTACTTATCAAACAAATCGGAAAGGTTGTTGAAGAATGGTTCCGTCCACTCTGACGACTTCCTGTGAGGGTCAGAAATGAAGACGAAGTAGTGAAACATCCTCAACATTGTTCTTTCAATCTTCACCATTTCCACATATGTTTTCGTTGAATGTTTCCCAGCACGTTCAGCAGCTCCACTTCGCTTAGGAGTCAGTATCACACTGCCTGTGAGAATGTCTCGCAACAGTTGCAGCCGCTCACGCCTCCCAAGCGCTGAAAAAGGCTTCCACGCTCTGATATCTAGATCGTGCACATCCACGAGGTAACCAGGTCCTTTGGTACCCTGAACCCAGTGAACCGGATACCTAACTCAACCTTTCAACTCAAATCCGGGTCCAGCCCTCGGTGCCTTCCCTGATTCACCTTGTTTGGTAGCGGGCTTCACAGCATCTCTCCCCGACAATTGTCCAACTTCCCAAGCGGCGTACACTTGTTTCACATTTTCGAAAACGTCATCTGTCACCCTTGCCAACAACATGTAGGGCCCGAGGGCGTCAGACCACTGGCCGCTCCACTGAGTAGTAAGGGACATATCAATCAAATTACGAATCCCGGTCAAACGAAGAGTCTCTCCCACAAACTTTCTATGCTCTGCATTTTTCACTTCTGTCGTTGAGCCGCCTTTAGCTTCAGGACAGTTCGACTCGTGCCACAACTTTCGTATGTTCTGGACGACCACGTTCTGGTGCGGTGGGGTATTCCATTTGTCCTTGGAGTTCTGGAAAGTGCTCAGCGTGCCGTAATTGTCCATGCTCTTATCCGGATAATAAACAGGCCTCGCAGTCCAGCGATCCAATCGGAGCTCTTGTGAGATGTCAGGGCGTTCAACAAAACACCTTTTTGCCGCCGCCACGTTATGCTGACTGTTGAGAGGGTATTAGTAGTACTTGTTCACAGATTCGAGATCGAAATCATCGGGCAGCACCCTCCTTGCTCTCACAATCCTCCCTGAAGCGTCAGTGTGCAATGTATCACGGAGGGCAACCAACAAAACGACAGGCTTCTCATACAACGTACAGACATTCACACCAGCAGCTCCAGTCATTCTCTCTCTCATAGCAGCCTCACCCGATGCAGTCATTGCGTCATAAATGTCGTCAACCGTCTGCTACACAAGATAGCGTTGATTGTATCTGAATTCCCCGTCCGGGATATCTAGAATTCTGTCGAACTGGACAGAAATGAATTCCATGTCTGGACATTGGTTCCCATGCTCGTCCAACTCAAGGAAAAAACCTTTGCTAAGAACACCAGAAGAAGTCACTGATGGCACATTTCGCAAACCTGGCGGCCTAGTACCTGTCTTGCCTTTGGCCTCTTCATCCGATTGTGGTTGTTCCGCTGGAAAAACAAAAGTCTTTTCCATAACACCACCTTTTGCCTTTCTTTTCTCTGGTTGCTGCTTTTTCTTCGCGGCTGCCTCAGTCTCCCGCGTTCGCTGGACCGCCTCATCCACGGGCATTATTTTCAATCATCTTTTTTCACCCGCTTCTTGCCTACTCCGTTTATTATCCATAAGACTTTTCCTCTCCCGCCTGTGCTTCCTCTTTCGCTCAGCGAGCCCTGCAGCATCTGTATGCCCAGCCACAGCCACTGTCGCGTGCACATCCCCCTCATATAATTCGTAGTTGCTCCCATATCCTCCTGCCGGACCAACCTCCCCACCCGATGTGCTCACAGTGTGTTCACTGTCTTCATCCTGTCCAACCACTTTACTTGTCTCTCCTGGATGCCTTGTCATCCCGCCGACACCCGCAGCATACTGTTCCTGTCCTCCTGCTCGTTCCGAATATTCCTCGTTGTTCTCTTCATCCTCATCTTCAAAATACTCATGGACTTCCTCTACGCGGCCCGGCACAGTGTAGTCATAGCGCTGCTGGCCCACCAAGGGGAGATGTCCCTTGGTGGCCACATCATAGCGCGATCGGCTGCCCAAGGCAACGGGTGTTTTGGTCGTCGTTGGCCTGGTCTTCATAGGGGCTGACGGTTCGACCAGTCCGCGGCACGGACCCTTCTCTCCTATCTGCCCAACTTTCGGACCAGGCGGCGTATCGTGGATCGTGATCGAAGGCCCTGTCTCCACAGTTCTCGAAAGCACACGTTTAGGCTCTGATATGCGGTCCGCTGGATGCACAACCGGCTCTCTGCCCGCGATCACATTACTGTCGAAAAAACCGACGACGTCAACGAGGTTAGGCAACTTCACTTCCAATGTCTCTGGTGGGTTGAACACATCAACCAGCAACTTTCCAAACCCCGCGTGTTTGGCCCATCGAAGAGCGACGTGTTTAATGTTTGGTATTCTTTCCCCTCTTCCATTCAGGACCATCGTCAACTCGAAAGCTGCAAACGGCACATTTTGCTCAGTCCACCTCACCAGGCCGCCAACTGACACAATATTTTCTTTGATGACCACGTATAGAACAAGGCCACTCGATGGTTGTCCGGTCTCCCCACCCAGTCCAGAATCCAGAACTTGTCCTTGTGGTCAATCACGGGGACATCGTCTCGCCGACCCGCGGCAGTCGTTTCACTAGACGGTTTACGTTCGCCAGACGGTTTACGTTCTCCAGACGGTTTGTGTCCGGGCATAACCTCCATTGCAGATCTCCCCTGCTGTGGACCAGGCACACGTTCCTGACCCGCAGGCCCGCCAGTCATCAACATAGCCTTATCCGGTCCAGAGCCCCGAACACGAGTCGACGGAGTGCCCATGGAAGGTGCACCCCTCGAAACCGGGGTGCGTTGCTGCTTAGACCCCGGTGCCTCCAGACTCCCAACCCCAGCGGCCGGCGTCCCCTTCGATTTTTTCGGAGATTGTTCCATGCTCCCTGAATTCTTACTTGCTCATCGTTTACTTGCCTTCCCCTCTCCTTCCATGTTTTGTAGCGCTGCCTAATCTGAAAGCAACACAGCACATCACCGCAAAGCAAAAAATCAGAAGGTCGCACAACGTTGGCATGGCACGAGGAGCAGAAAAGTTCCAGATAGTGATAAGGCAGCATCTCCTTCGTGACGAGGCATCCGCGATCGTGTTCAACTCGATCGTGATCGTGCCCGTGGTCAACACGATCTCATTCGGCATGAGAGTGACAGGCCAGCTCGATCGTGTTCGACTCGATCGCGAGTCCAGGCTCATCATGTTCGACTCGATCATGTCGGACTCGATTATGACAGACTCGATCGCGTTCGACTCGATCTTGTTCGACTCGATTGTGCTCGACTCGATCGTGTTCGACTCGATCGTGTTCGACTCGATCATGATCAACTCGATCGCGTTCCACTCGATCGTGTTCGACTCCATCGTTTTCGAGTCGATCGTGAGTCCAGGCGATCGTGTTCGACTCGATCGAGTTCGACACGATCGTGCTCGACTCGATCGTGCTCGACTCGATCGAGTCGAACACGATCGAGTCGAATGCGATCGAGTCGATCATAATCGAGTCGGACACGATCGAGTCGAACACGATAAGCCACGATGGAGGTCGATTCGTGTTGGATCCGATCGTGTTGGATCGTGTTGGACACGATCGTGAGTACAGGCGATCGTGAGTACAGACGATCGTGAGTCCACATCGAGTCGATCATAATCGAGTCGGACACGATCGTGAGTCCAGGGGATCGTGAGCACAGACGATCGTGAGTCCAGACGATCGTGTTGGATCCGATCGTGAGCCCAGGCGATCGTGTTCGACTCGATCGTGTTCGACTCGATCGTGTTCGACTCAATCGTGTTCGACTCAATCGAGATAGACTCGATGGAGGTCGACTCGATCGAGTTCGACTCAAACGTGGGGGGCCAGCGCAACAGTTCGACACAACCGGGCTGGCAAACAGAACACGGGAATGGGACGACGTATCCAAAAGCAAACAAACAGAACACGGGAGCGGCGTAGCTAAAAGTCACATCAAACAAAGCAGAAGGATCGAAACCCGGCATCCACAATTTCACATCAAACCCATTGCTTTCATAACACACACAGTCTCAGTCCACACTGTTGCTGAATGACCCACATTTCTCACACTGTTCATCTTTCGCTGAATAGGAAGCGGCGTCACGAACAAGGCACACCAATCAAGGCACATCAATTGGAAGCCTACATCCATCATCAATTCGAGGCATTCAATTGGCAAGGCAGGCAACCGGCACCCGCAACGAGCGACTAACAGTACGCTCCACCGATCACTAAACACACACACGCACACATAAGAGAGAGAAAGAGAGAGAGAGGTTAAACCGGCGTCGACAAGCTCACATCAAACTCAATGCTCGCACGCATACACAATCTCAGGTGTCACTTTTGCTGAACAGCTGAATAACTGACATGTCCTACACTGTTCATCTCCCATGACCTCCCCCTCGACCTCGCCTATCCTTTCGCTCCAAAACTGTACACTGCGTTCAGGGATGAACCGTACGTCAGGAGTTGTGGACTGCACAGGGTTACAGTGGAGGAGAAGCAAGACACGTATCGTGCACAGACGAAACCACATGATCTCGCTAAAGTTCGACCGATGGCGTCTCTAATGACCTTCACGTACTCCTCGACCTCCTCCTAATGCCGGGGTGTATCGACCTGCCCCGCCAGTTTCAGGTCAAACCTACCGTTCCTCCAACCATGCGTTAACATAATCGAGTCCCCGTCAACGATGAGCTCGTTCCTGGACACGTAAATACTTGCTTCCGGTAAAGTCTTACTTCTATTTCTTACCGAAACACAAAGAACCCTAGCGAAAGAGAAATGGCAGAGATCAACATGTACGCAGAAGTACGACACACTCCCCGTCAAGTTGTCCTGGAAAGGAAGGGGATATTCCTCTAGAAACTGGTTCTGTTTTGCGCAGTCCAGCAACTCCATCTTCATCGATGGTCCCCACAATCGCGGTGGACACGACACGTTGTGCGCAGTCAACCACAAAGACCGGTCTCTGGTACGAAATGCCGCAGACAACACCGGCATGTGTTTCGTCACGAGGATGTGGTCGAGGAAGATGAATGTCCCCCATTCCTGGCTGGATGCTAGTCGATAATCAGATGCCCAAGGGCAGTCTTTCATTGTGTTCTCCCGGTCCAATTCGAACCATGCATCGAAGGGCTTTTCAAGCCAGGGCATAACGCTCATCCAAGGGTCTGTGTCGAAGTCTTCTCTACGGGCCCCAAATATAGTTGTCTCCCGCCTTGAACCTCACAGGTACCTTGCGCTAGCATTCAAAGGGAACAAGTAATCGAAGCGGTGAGCCATCGCAAACGTCCTACACACACAGACGATTGACGACCACAACAGGGAGCCATTGCTAAGGTCGAACGCGCTCACACACCAAGGAGCCATCGTAGTTACACACAACAACCTGGCATTGCAAATTCCCAAAACAGAAGGAGAAAACACATAGAACGACAAATTCCATCGGCGGCTATCTATTGTCGTATTCCTCGCGACGAGGCCGATGACGGACAATCGAGGAGCTCAAACGGATGGCCAGAGGCCTTGACTCTTGCCGGCGGACGAGTCTGTAGAGCTTGTCTCGACGCCGGTCGGCTTGCCACCGTCGAGTCATACTCGACACTGGCCAGCACGCCGTCGTCGAGTAGAACTCGACAGCGGCCAGCATGGGGCCATCGAGTCCAACAAATCGGCAGCGGCATGTCATATGGCCATTGTTGAGTCGAACTCGATAACGGACCGTGGTCATCAAGTCGGACTCAACAACGGCCCCGGGCATTTGTCGAGTTCGACTCGACGTCGGTCGTACGACTTGGCGCTGGTCCACCATCGAGTTCGACTCGACGGCCTGGGTTCATCGTCGTGTCGGACTCGACAATGCCGAGACGAAATCAACGACACCCTGGGGTCATCGTTGAGTCCGACTCGACAGTGGCCGGAGGCTTTGGCGCTTCCCTGCCATCGTGTTCGACTCGACGACTGATGGCGACGGCCTGGCCATTGTCGAATCCTACTCGACGGTGACCCCAAGCCGTCATGTATTCAATCTCTACAATAACTCATGTCCTTTGTCCTTCCCGACTAGATAATGACCACAGGCCGTTGTCGAGTCCGTCTCGACGACGTCACCGGGCCATTATCAAGTGCGATTCGACAATGACCAAAGGCCGTTGTCGAGTCCGGCACGACGACGACCCCGGGCCATTGTCGGGTTCGCTTCGACATTTACCACAGGCCATTGTCGAGTTCGACTCGACAATGGCCTGTGGTCATTGTCGAGTCCGACTCGACGACGACCCCGGTCCATTGTCGAGTTCGCTTCAACAATGACCCCGGGCCATTGTCGAGTTCGACTCGACGATGACCACAGGATATCGAGTCCGACTCGACGGTGACCCCGGGCCATTGTCGAGTTCGACTCGACGATGAACACAGGCCATTGTCGAGTCCGACTCGGCGATGACCCCAGCCCATTGTCGAGTCCGACTCGATGATGACCCCGGGCCATTGTCGAGTTCGACTCAACAATGCCCCCGTCGAGTTCGACTTGACGGCGGCCTCTGCATGGGCTAAGATGCCACGTGGCAGCACGTGGTTGCTTCAGGGCGGTTTACCGTTCTCCCAGGCCTCCGCTGCTGCCTTCGATGCGGATGCTCGTCACTTCGCTTCGATGCTGCACGAACCTCCGATGTGCAAGCGAGATCTCCGTTGCCTTCTGCGCGAGCCTCCGATGTGCGAGTCAGCGCTCCACCGGCTTCGGACACTTCGCGAACCTCCGCAACGCTCCGTTGCTCTCGATGAACTTGCAGAAATGGGAGATGGTGGGCCCACACCACTGTTTATACTTTCTGTGGAAGGCCTGCGGGGGAATGCGGCCTGTGGGGTGTGAGTTCGGGACCCAGTGCCGCGGGGGGATCAGTGCCGCGGGACCGACGTTTTGAATCCCGGAAAAATCTCGGTCGTCGATTCGTCAGCTGAGGGCCAGGATCGGGTGCGGGGAAAACAGGTGTCGCGGTGAGAATCGTTGCCCAGCGGGCGACAATTCGAATCCTGGGAAAGTCAGGGCCGTCGATCCGTCGGCTGAGGGCCAGGATCGGGTGAGGGGAGAAGTGGTGCCGAGGTGGAAGTTGATGCCAAGGGGGGCGACGATTCGGCTGCCGGTGCCGTCCGAGACTGTTAAAACGGGCTCTGCATGAGGATCCAAGGGTCTTTTCCCGTGCGTCGCTCCCAGACAAAAGGCCGATGCAGTGTCACCTTCTCGTCGACGTGAAAGACAGCTGCGTTGCTCCGCCACGGCAGCTGCATTGCTGCTCCAATTCGTGCCTTCTTCGACCCAGGTGAGTTCGGAATCCTCGCCGCCCCCGCTCCCCCGCCAAACCCGTCTCCCCCCAATTCAAAGGCGCCGCTCCTTCCCCCCCCCCCCCCCCCCCCCCGCCACAACCCCCCAATCGCGCCCATCCACTACTGCTATTCGTCATTCGCGTTTTTTCAGGACGTCAACATAATTTCGCCCACAGTTTCACAGAGCCGTCCATCATCGAGTCCGACACGACGACCGTCGTGTTCGACACGATGACCGTCGTGTTCGACATGATGACGGTTGCGCGCGGGCGTGTACGCCACGTGCTGAGCATGACCCCACCGTCGTGTTCAATCCGATGATGGTCGTTGTCATCGAGTCGAACACGACCGCGGTGGAACCCCCCGACCTCACCGTCGTGTTCAATTCGATGACGGTCGTTGTCATCGTGTCGAGCATGACTACAGTGGCACCCCGCAACCCCACCATCGTGTTCAACCCGATGACGGTCGCTGTCATCGTGTCGAACACGACCGCGGTGGCACCCCCTGACCTCACCGTCGTGTTCTACCCGATGACGATCGTTGTCATCGTGTCGTACATGACAGAGGTGGCTGCCCACAACCCAAGAAGTTGTATCAATAAGTTATAGAGAATAAGTTACATATAAAATCAGTTATATTTATTTGTAGAGTTAGATTGATGTATATTTGTTCAATGCGGTGACGATCGAGTGCGGGCATGTACAGCACGTTCTAAACATGACCCCACCGTCGTGTTCAACCCGCTGACGGTCGCTGTCCTAGTGTCGAACACGACCGCAGAGGCACCCCTCGACCCCGCCATCATGCTCAACCTGTGACGGTCGCTGTCCTCGTGTCGAAAGCGACAGCATGTCGTCTTCAATACGATGACGCTCGAGCGCGGGTATGTATACCACGTGTCGAACACGACCGCATCGTCGTGTTCAACACGATGATGGTTGCTGTTATCGTGTCGAACACGACAGAGGTGGCACACCCCGACCCCGCAGTCGTGTTCGATGTGATGACGGTCACTCTCGTAGCCGCCGTGCCGGTGGTAATGTTCAACATGCGACGGTCGAACGCGGACATTATCGCCACCAAAGCACCGTCGCGTTCAACAAGCAGACGGTCGCTCATCGTCATCTTCTACACGACGGCGGTGGAC